ACAACAACCATTTTGAACTTCAAATTCTGGCTGAGCTGGAGCCACTAGCCAAATTTCCCACCCTTTTTCCATTATGTGTAAGGCTAAATAACCCTTCTTGCCAGTTTTTTTTTCTTTGCAAGACCACCAAAAAAAGCAAATTATGCAGTAGGAGCCTGTGCAGACCCTCCTGACCATCATGTGCAAGGGGCTGAGAGCAGACAGACCCTCACCTCTCCCCTGAGGATCTGCTCCCTGGCTGTGGGGACATGATGGATTTATGCTACAGAAATTCTGCCTGCCCCCTGTCTGCCTACAGGCACCATTCACCTGAACACCTCCAAATCTGCTGGGTAAAATACATCAAAGCCACATTCCCCATGGGAAAATCCTATCTTGGATAAAGAAGATGAAGCCTCATTCACACAAGTGGAGAAGTTTTGAACTTTACGGATATCGGGTAACGTGAGTGCCACAAGTACCTGTACTAAAAAGAAAGGCACACTGATGTTAACTCAGTTTTATTTTTGCTTTCTCACTTGTCCAGATCCCAACAGCGAGCCAGACTTGCACAAAACATTCAAACTGTACATGGAGCCACAGATCTTTGTGAACACAGGGCAAAAACTTCTGTATGGCCCAGTTTGGAAGATACCTGGAGCAGGAGCATGGCTTAAAATCACATCACCTAAAGGAAGGCCAGAAAACAGGCAGCCCATCCGTTTTCTGTGTTTTCTGTCCAACTACATTTTTCTGCTTTACTATGTTAGTCAGGTGCTAAACAAATAAAATCAATTCTGAACTTATAAAAAGCAATTGGAAATGTCTAGTCTTTTACAGTGAAATCTCAACTTAAGCAGCCCACAGCACTTGGAGAAAAATCAATCATCGTTTCCATCCTGCTACGTGTGCTACTAAAATTAAGAATTGATGTTCAGCTGCAAAGGAAAATTATTTCAAGCGAACCACCTTAGCAACAGTTTTCAGTGTTCATAAACCTCCTGTTTACAGTTCTTCTCATGGCAGACGAACTCCTACATCCCACCATGAATTATAAACATTAGTGAGGGATCCTGATTTACATACAGTTTCCATCTTGATGGGCATCAAAATTGCAAGCAGGGCAACAGCACCACTTATGGTAATAGCAAGTAGTAAACACGTCCTCAGCCTAAAGAGGTCATAAACCAGTGTTAAACGCCCCTGCAATTGCAGCCTCTCCAATATCCAAACCAAAGTTCAGATGATTTTGCCAGCCTTTCCATAAAGACAGCCTGGAATGGGGCATCTGAAGAAGCACTTAACTCTGATGAAGCCTAAATATTTTAGTAATATGCTCTGCCCAGTTGGAAATACCACTCCTTGCATCTTCTTTGATTTATTGCTGCCCAGCCTATGTAACTTGTATGATATTATGTGCAAACCATATTGACATCCCCCTGAATATGCCACAGCCACAGTGAAAGCCATCCCTGCCTCCAAATAATCTCCAGCCCACCAGCTCTACCTATTAGCGAGCACACGGGTGATTTCTTACACACCACTGGAAGCTGCTGTTTCTCCAGCAGCCCGGGCTGTGTGACACCCTGAGCACACTGCTGTCCCCTCCAGCCCACCTGGCTTCCCACAGGCTTTTCTCAGCCTGTGTGTGGTGAGGTTTGTGGTGGCCACAAGAGTCACCTCGCTCAGGTGGGGTTTGTAATCAACCTGTGGCTCTCAGGAGGTGTCTGGGACGAGACAGCCCTGTCTGCCCCCCAAATCCACACATAAGGTTGCCTAATTAGGGTGATGACCACTGCACCAAAACCAGTTTTTTAAAAGTTTTTCCCAACTGTTTTGATCCAGCTGGCTCTCCCAGCCATGGGTTTCTTGCCCATCAATCCCTGGACTCAGTTCCACTCACACCACCTTCTGTTCATCACTTCTTTTGGTGTTTGATTAGTGCAATTAGCACCCGAGATGGGGACACTGCTCCTCCCTCTGATGCCAGGAGGGGAACGCTGCACGGTTCTGTCTCTGTCCAGTCCTGCTTTTCCTGTATCTGCCTCAGAAGGATTGCAGTCAGCTTTGAGAACTGAGTAACTGACTTTGATAGGGAAATTACTGCTCCAGTATAATAGCAAATAGCACTGCAAATAGCAATGCTCTAGAACGCTGTTAAATCAGTCTGGAAAATGAACTTTAATAAAAAGCATTCCAGTAATGTGTTGTGACAGCTTTTAGTGAAATCAGCTCCAATAGTTTGATTCTCCCAGGAGCACAGCGAGATACTCCCACAGCTCCGAGCCATGGCATCAGCAAGCAGACACTTTTATGATAAATGGCCCCAGAAACCCAAATTAAAGCTGCAGCAAATGAACAGTATGTTGAAAATTACAGAGGCTTTTTGTCTGAGCCATCGTGCTGGTAGCTGGGTGTGCACTGACACCTAGTGGGATGACCCCAGGCTGGGAGCAGAGAGGTAAAATTATTTTCTCAAAGAATATCAACAGCCAGCCCCTCTTGATGCTAAACCTCTGTGCCCATGGTGGGGTGGTTGGAACTGAGTGATCTTTGGGGTCTTTCCCAATGCAAATAATTATATTAATCTATAGCTGCCGTGAGATGACAGTGTAGGGTTATTGATGTCCCTTCCTCTCCTGCAAGCAGTGTTAATAGTTTTGATTTCTAAACGTTGCACCTCTGCCATCTAAAGGATTCATTCATCACTTCTCTTGTTTCTGCTCTCGCTGCGTGGGTCACCCCCTCCTCATTTATGGGTATGGGTGGGAAGAACGTCAGGGATTTGCCGTGGATCAATCCAAACCTAGAGATGCAGGTGTAGGGAGAGCTCAGGCAGTGGCTCTGATGTTGGAATTCACCGCGCTGGTTAAACTGCAGGGTGCCAAAATCGGTGTGACCGTGCTGGGAGTGCGGCCTGGTGAGCCCTGCCTGGTGTGAGCCACAGCTCATCACAGCATCCCAGAACGGGCTGGGCTGGAGAGACCTCAAACCCATCCCATCCCACCCCCTGCCATGGCAGGGACACCTTCCACTGTCGCAGGCTGCTCCAAGCACTGTCCAGCCTGGCCTTGGGCACTGCCAGGGGTCCAGGGACAGCCGGTATCCAAGGCTTCTCCGGGAAGTTATGGACAGCCCCAGGGGACTCAGTGCGCCCCCAGGGAACCAGGCTGCTTTCAGCCCTGGTGTCTCGGATCACCTCTGATCCCTTCTCTGACGGAATACGCCACATTTGAAGCCCAGCTCCAGGGCAGGAGGGTGGCACCATGCACGGATTGAGGCACTGGTTTCCAAAGCAGGTCCTGCTGCATCACAGAGCTCACCCCGGGCTGGGTTGGAATTACGGGGAGAAACAGCACGAGGAAGGTTTGTCAGGAGAGACTCTTACAATGCTTCACAAACATTCCGGCCCATTTCCAGCCCCAGCTCCCAACAGGAACAGCACGGGCACGGCCTCGTCCCACACGGGACCTGCACCTTCCCGGCTGGCACCGCCTCGTTTCTATGGGAGCGTCACCGCACTCGCTATAGCATCATTTATTTATCTCAGGCTTTGGGGCTTGACAGCAGCACCCAAAGCACTGCCCGCTCCGCCACTGCCCCGTGCCATCCAGCCGGCGAGCTGCAGCCTCCGCAGAGGTACGGCACGAACAGTGCCGGTGACAAACGCCGCGGCCAGAGCCGCACAGGCCGCTGAGGCG